CTCACTAAAACACAACCGCTCAACTCAACGCAACTACTAACTATACCCGCGGTCAGAGAGCGGAGATGTTTCTCCTTTGTTATGTAATATGACGCGTTTGACGTATGACCTTAAAAAAAAGCCGTTTTTAAGAGCAGAGCTCAAAATTGCTCCTTTCCCTCTGAATTCCTGCCTTAGGCCTATGTCTCGTAAAACATATCAAATCCTACATTCACTTTTTTAATTGTAATTTTCAAGCAAGTTTAAGCATAAATGTAGAAAAAAAAAACCCTGCAAGATGCTCTTTAAAGAATTTATTTATCGTGTGAGTTTGGAAATAAAAGTTTCATATTCTGAAAGCTAAGACATTGTTTGTTTAAAATCAAACGAAGCACACGAACCCCGAAAAAATAGTTTTTACGCAAATCCACGTTTATTTTGAACTGAGCCGTTGCGACTTCCGACTGATTTTGATAGAGCGGGTCACAATTAATAGACCTGGTTAGGATCTGAGAGCTTGCCAATATCCCTCCTTACAAAGATTACGTTTTGATATATAACAAGGCGAGACACTGGGCTGTTATGGCCAGAAGCAAACGTCAGCCTATGACAGAAAAGACAAAACCGTTTACCCCTCTGAGGACTGAATAGCTTCTCTCAAAGCCTTGCACTACCTTACACTTTCAAAAGGCATCTAGTAACTTGGTAAAGTTATTTTCAGAATATGGCTAGTACTTATAGATGAACAACACAATCAAAAGGGAAATCGCTCATTGTTAGTGACTGGGGCTAACAGAGGGGTTTCTACAGCAGACAACGAGAACAGAAGATGTCCCCACTTCTTCAGACTAGAGAACATTTGGGGAAGTAGGTGGCTCTTTATTTAGCTGTCAAAACTAGATAAATACAGTTAAGTCCAAAAGCCACTCCTCTTGTCTCTACCAGCTCCTAATACAACTATATTTTTGTCTAGATATGAGGGTTTTCTTAACCAGATAGTGCCAACTTTGCCCGTCCACCTCACTGGATAGATAGTGTAGAGCAGGGGTGCCCAATACGTCGATTGCAAAGTTAGTGTGGGTAGATCGCATGGCATTAAAAAAAAAAGAAAAACACTTTTTTTTAAAGTTAGCCTATCATCCATCCTTACTATGGAATTTGCCACTTGATTGACGTACAGGTAAACCAGTCTGAGTTGTATTGTGCCATACGGGTTCATGCAGTTATGAGGGGGCCTCACCTCCTCATCTGAAGCACAAATGCTACAGTATATCTGCAGTGTAGTCCACTAGCACACCAGTTCGCTGGCACCCCAGCACCCCCCCCTCTCTATTTGGATTGGTAGATCTCGGCAGACTAGCAACTTTAAAAGTAGCTCTTGGTTCAAAAAAGGTTGTGCACCCCTGATCTAGCCCAAGATCTGCAAACAGGTATTTTCACTTTTGAATTTCAGTTGTCGTTCTTTGTTTTGTTTGGTTGGTTTACTTTGTGTTTCTTAGTTATTATCTGGAAATAGTTGGATGGACATGGACACGATAAACTAAATATAGCATTAGTATTTTAAAATGTATTCTTCTGTTTGTATTTACATAGTATGTGGTTTTATATGATTCAATAGAACACTTATATTTAAAAGGTCATGGCTTTGCTGTCAATCACTTCTAACAAACAGGAAGTCGAGCATAGTTGATCACAAGTAACTGCCAGGCAATACGACTTTGTCTCTATTTTTATAGATGATACGACTACATTTGGATTGCAAATACGCCCCAGTTTTATATATGAATTTCTTGGGAGGGAGAAAAACATCTGGCTTGTGCTTGTTTGAAAGAGACGACGAATACCATCAGACAACACGTCAATATGTCACAACATCTTTAAAGTTGTCTACATGTGTCCGTTGATGATTGGCTTTGTAAGTCATTGTTTCAGCCAGACTCTCTTTGCTCCCTTACACTTTTTCTTTGTTTTAATATAAATAAAACATATTGAATACCAAAGCAGATCCAAGTTTCTGGTGTGAAGTACAGTTCAAGTGATGATTCACCAGCATATGCTTCTGTAAAAAACAATCTGGTGCATCTGGTATTACAGCAAAGTATAAAAGTGTGAGGGATAAAACAAGCTGCTGGATGAGTTCTATGTTTACCACCCAGGTGCTTTAGTCATTTTTCATCCTTAACTTTAATAACTGTACCTTTAGTTCAAGCTGGATTTGTTAAACACTTTCCCTCACACCATCAGACTATACTTTGTACCTTTTATGTTGGATCAAAATGGTACATCTCGGGCCCATCGTGTGTCTGTTATGGTTCACCTGTGAAAATTGTACTTCCCCACTGTGAAACAAAACCTCTGTGTAAAACAGGAGAAGGAAATTAGAAGTCAGTGTTGGATTGAAAATCCACACTTGTCCTCTTCATTCATTTCCCCCGAAAGACCCTAGGATTGGTTATCAAGCATCGACTGTCCAAACTAATTATGCATGTAAGCAAGTTGTTGAGAATCCTGTTTGAAAGCCAGAGCCAGTCGATATCGGTGCTCATAAAGGTC